TATTAATGGACTAAATCAAAACATGAACGCAGAAAATAGTTTTTTTCTTCTACTAATAATGTGTAAATGTGAGCTAAAATCAGTCTGATTACTTATCTAAGCTTCACATGCCAATTTTTTTCAGGTTATGCAACATAATATGAAGATGACACTCAAAAGACGTGTCATAGAAGAAAGTCAAAATTGACATGCTTAGCCAAGCAAATTGTTAACAACTTAACATATAGTCATAGACCAACCAAGCACCCACGAGGAAAGTGAAAACCCCGTTTCGTGATTACATCTTTTTTCGGTGGTTGGTTACACAAATATATTTGTAAAGAAAAACACATTCCAAAAAAGTAGAAAAAATAGTTTTCTTTTTTACTTCATACACTTGTTTCAATCAACACACATTTTTTCTAGATAATTGGTTACACTCAATTATCTTTTAAATAATACGATCACATGGATATTTTTACGCTGACATTATTGTAACTTAAACTCTTAAAAAATATCACAAAGGGACTTTGGTCAGTATGTTTTCTCCCATTTCTGGTCAACAAAGACATATCAAGGAAAGGCATGCCAACTATCCAGACAATAAGATTCTTATTTTATTTTATTTTATATAAAAGCAAACTTAATTAAATCAAGTCTATTAGCATTGTCTTATTCCTGCATGTTTGCTATTGGATTCTTCATGATCGAGTAATTATTTAGTTTATTAATAAAATAAGGAGGGTCGTCTCTCTTTCTCCTCCTTGACACCAATCATCCTCTTTTACGTGGCTAAGTTCCGATTTCAAAAATCAAACGTATTTTTCTTTGGCCGTAATTATTTTAAATATTTTTAGATATTTTGAGTCGTTAATTATTGTAACTTATAATACTTGTTACGTAGTTTCCAAATATATAAATTTTGTTTCAAAAAACTTAAAGATTTTATGTCTGAATTTGACTTTCGAAATTCGATCTCCATCACATAAATTACAATAAAGGGAATAGCTAATTACAAACTCACAAAGTCAAATCTCGATGTATTTTAACAAGTCATATATGTCGAGTAGTATTAGTACTACATAAATTTGATACCGAAACTAATTAATCATATAATACAAAGTTTGGTATGATGATTAACTCGGGTTATATTTTGAGCAAATAATATTATTTAGTCGTTCTTAAAATAATAGTTAAAAAATATATTTTTTGTATGTATATATATAAAAAAAAATAGATAAATTTTATGCACTTTTACAGTTATTTAATATAAATAATTTTTACCACGAGTTAAAAGCAATCTTTTATATTTTCTTTTCCATCAAATCAAATTCTCTTTAAATGTAAAAATAAATTTAAAATTTAAATTTTATGAATTCAACCGGATTAAATTTTTACCAAAGCTTCAAGACCCCACATTCCAAAAAGACACACTACCGTGTGTGACCGTGTCAAATACGTGCCTCAAAACCCAACCCTACTCCGATTTTCGCTCCCCTCTTTCTTCTTCCTATAAAAAAAACTAGGCCGGCACATAAAAATCCCCACTTCTCTCTCTCATTGGTGGCTTTTGTAACTCTGTTTCAACAGTTACCAACCGACCGTCATTCTCGTATTTATAAACAGTTCTCTTCTTTCCAAAATATTTCATCGCCTATCATGGCTCAAAATACCAAGATCAGCTCTTGAAATATATATCACTTTCATATTATTCTCGATTTTAATTTTTGTATTAGAAAAATGTGGAGAACTTCGTGTAATTTATTGAAACGTACTGTTACATCAGCGTCTATCAGCCATGGGACAAGAACATTTCCCATTCCGGTTATGGATTATCGATCCGGGTGTTTTTGCGGGTCGACCCGAATGATGGGTGGGTACTATTTCAGCTCAGCTTCAACAGGGAATGGGGAAAACAAGAATAATATGAATAATGGGGATTTTATTACGCACGAGGAAGCTAAGAGGCTGATGAGATTGGTGAATGTTGAGGAGCTGAAGTGGAAATTAGGGATGGAAAATACGGAGGTTATTGGATACAGTGAGCTGTTAAAAGCTTGTGAAAAAATGGGTGTGGCTAAAACGCGTGATGAGGCGGTTGGTTTTGCTAGAGTACTTGACGAGGCTGGTGTCATTTTGGTCTTCAGAGATAAAGTTTACCTTCATCCTGATAAGGTAAACTTTTTTTCTCTTCTATTTTATTTTTTTATGTTGTTTTGTGATGTGGGGGTAGTGTAAAATGGTGTTTGATTGATGATTATTGTGTAAGATTTACATTGTCTAATTGTAATATCTGAAGAAATCATGAAAAAGGATAGATCTTTGGGGAATATTGATGTGGCGTTTGGTTTCATTGGCCTCTAATATTAATTGGAATATTCTTGTTGTTGTTGTTGTTGTTGTTCGATTGACGATTAGCATGTAAGAATTAGATTGTCTAGCTGTAATATCTAAAGAAATCACATGAACAAGGAGAGATCTTTGAGGAATTATTGATTTGGCGTAAGGTTTCATTGGCTTCTGAAGCGGGGGATGAAATATTTGTTTCCCTTTTGGGATTGGGGAATGAGGTTGGGTGTTGTGAGGAGAAACTGTAACATATAAGGGGTAAAGAAACAAAACATACAACCATTGGCATCTGCTAATTATCAACAACCAACATGAAAAACAACAGAGTTTCTCTGGCTTTGCTCAATTGTTCTGCTTTTACTGCCTGCCTTCATTATGTGCTTCTAATAAAGGCCTATATCCTAGGAGTTAGCTGTTAAACGGTTAATGAATGTTAATTACATCTGGAAAATGGCATTACTAATTTGGGAAAATGGTGTCAATCACATGATGTGAGGTTGTATCTGTTAGTGTGTTCCGATTAAGCATGGTTTCCTTATATCAGTCATATTTTGTAGCGGGTCAAAATTTCGTCAACCAGTGTGAATTCCTGCTTTTGATTTGAGAATTCATGAGACACAAAGAAAGGTGAGGGGCAGTCTGGCAGGGGGTTGGTGGTGGTGATTGGAGATTTATGATGTTTGATATGCTGGTTGCGTGCTGAAACTTATTGAATAAGCTTTCAGTAAGCAAGATTATTAGAATTGTGGAGAGCAAACTTGTAATTATGGCCAATATTTTGGCTAATAGAGTCCATCTCACATAAGCATAAGCATCTTTGCAAAGTGTAGACTTTGTTGGCAATATTCTTTGGGACCCAAAAATATTGCATTGTGTGTTGGACATCATTTGCACAAGTTGTATCTCTTCTTTTACACCTAAGAGGCCAAGACTTTTTTGCCTATAAAAGGGAAGGCCATTAGTTCATTTTAGACACACCAACAAGACTTGTCTTCAATTCTTGTTTCTTCCTTTCTTCCTTTATTAAGAGTGTTTTGTATGAGAGTTAGTGTTGGGAAGCACTTGTGTGAACCCTTTCTTTGGAGTGATCTTGTGAGGTTATTCTCTTAGGGTATTTGGGATTAATTAGAGTGTTTACTCTAATTTTGTACTCTCTTTTGTACTCTTATTCTTATAGTAAATTGCTCCTCTCCGCTTGTGGACGTAGGTCACTTTGACCGAACCACGTTAAATTTATGTCTTCTTTATCTACTTTAATTGTCGTTATTATCAACTTCAATTGTCTTTGTTATTGCCATTATACCGTTGTTTGGCTATATTCCTCACTACCCGGGTTCCCTATCCTAACAAAACTCTCCTTAGTTTGGGCATTCTTGAGCCACCTTATTGTGGACATTGTCTCATAGTACCCATAATCTTTTCGATTCTCAGTCCATTAGTTGGTGGTGTAAAGATGCCTAGTTTTGCAGGGACATGTCATGTTTGAATTACTTATTTTTCTGAATATGCATAACAGCATGCAATTACTTCTTTTCTAATTTTATGAGTGAGGGAGAAGTAGAAAATCATGAAAGATTTCAACTTTGCTTCTTTGATCACAAATTTATTGCTTAATTTAATTACCTGATAAAGTAAAAAATGTGTGAGCTTTAAATGCATACTTGGTGGTTTCTGAATATGGATTTGAGAGACATTTCTTAATAAATGTCCATTTCTAGCCAGCCCTCTTAAAAGCTTTATCACTATGGAAATCTCCAATTTCATTTTCTTCTTTTTTGTTTTCAGGTAGTGGATGAAATTAGAAAGGCAGTTCCCCTAGCACTTCTACCCAATGATGACCCCACGATAGATGAACTAAAGATTCTGCAGGAGAAGATGGATAAAATTGATGAGCTTGCACATAAGCAGGTGCGTCGCATTTTATGGACTGGGTTAGGAGCTGGCCTCTTGCAAGTTGGTCTCTTCTTCCGTCTAACGTTCTGGGAATTCTCTTGGGATGTGATGGAACCAATTGCTTTTTTCACAACTACTACTGGGATAGTAGTAGGTTATGCTTATTTCCTTGTTACTTCTAGAGACCCGTCATACCAAGATGTGTTGAAGAGGCTCTTCCTCTCAAGGCAGAGGAAGCTGATCAAGAAGTATAATTTTGATATTCAGAGGTTTGTGGAATTACAAAAGAAAATCAGAGTACCAGTGAGTAGTCAAGCTTCAATGAAACATCGGTTAGGGGTGGAACTGGAAGCTGAGGATCTTTTACACGGTCACTAAATCACATTGGTCTCTGATCATCCTCTCTTTGACCCTCAACTTCTCACATAATTATAACTTCACTAAACTTTTACCTTTCAACCAATGTAAGCCCTTCATTTTCTTAGCGGAGGGTGAATATCTCAGCTGTTGACAATTGTCCCTGATTTTACCTTGTAATTTGAAGGTTGTATTACTAAACTCTTCTCTTATAACATAGGCTTAGAAAGTAGTTCTAACCGTTGCAATTCCTTCAAAGCCTCCTACTCTGAAGTTGTTAGCCTCTCATATATTTTTGAAGTTGTAACTAGATACTGATGCTATATCAATGATTTTGAATTTTTGGTATTTCGACAATAACCAATGTTATTTATATAAAAAGTAGGCCAATGAGATTTTACAAGTTTTTTTTTACTAGAATGCCAGGGCTTTCGTCATAGTTTAATTTTGTGGGAAATTGTCATCATACAGGTGTTAGTTGAACTGTGTGCCGTATTGATGCTATATCGATGATTTTGAATGTGTGTTCTCTCCATGATAACCTCAGTTAATGATACTGACTACGATCGTGTTGGAAGGTCTTATTCGACTTGAGTGTCTAGGTCTTTTACAAGCACTTTGTGGAGACCTTTCTTTCATAGTTTCATTTTGTTGGAAATTGTCATCAGACAGTTAATTGATTTCAGTTTCGTGCAGTACGGATAGTGCATAATTTCACGAATCAGCTGCAGTTCGTGGGTTATTGACCTGCTCTACTGACCAGCTTTATAAAGTTTGTTCTGAAAAGCTTAGATTTTATGCACTGATTGTGTATATATAGTTTCAACATCAGGCAAAATTGACCTGCTACAATATATAACTCTTCATATTAAGCAGAGGTATGGTAACGTGGAAAATAGAGTGAGAACTTGCTATGATCTGTTAATTCTCCTATTAAATTGCACTGATAGTGTAAACAACTTTTATGTTGTTAGTGTATGTTACTTAAAATCGTTTTTCATTCCGAGGTTCAAAGTAGGAAGAAACTAGTATATCTGCAGCTTTGGAACATTGCCTTTACTAAATCCCAAGGTGTTGAATGAAAGGCAAATATTGACAGTCTATTGTTGTCCATACTAGAAAACAATATGTCCAAGTAAGGCAGTGGATGAAGAACTTCAGTTTCTTGGAGACAATAGTGATCTGCAGCTTCTGGAAGTAGAAGCAAGGCGTCCGAGGCATTAGCATATGCATTTTGCTCACTCGGTTTCTGGAAATGGAGAAACTCATGGTTCTCGGGGGTGAATGGAGAACCTTCAAGCAGAGAGGGTAAGGATAAAGCATCGGATACCTGGGTTCTGAGAGACATTACTTCAGCTAAAGCTTCGTTTAACTCGGATTGTAAGTGAAAAACATGTTTCTGGAGGGCAGAAATGATGCCCACACAGCCATATACTGGATCTCTGAGTCTTGCTGTAGCTTCATAAACCATGCTAATCACTGCATCTTCTCTATTATCCACTGGTATCTCCTGCTATAAATGAATGCCAATATTGAATAGACAAAGCAGAAAAGGTTCATTTCTTGAGTGTCATTATAACTAGCACTCATATGGATTTAACTTGGATACACTTGCCGTTTATAGATGCAATATTTAGCCTATTATATTATGTTGTCTGCTTTTTTTTTTTTTCCGGTAACTAGTTTCACTTGTTATAGATAATTAGTCTTTTAAGTGACCTGGTTGATTAAATATTCTTTCTCACCGTTAATGTTTAGAACTTAAACTCTAATAATATTATAGATTAGCTTCCGTTTGGCCGTATATTTGGCTTCATTTTTTATAAAAAAAATTAAAAACATTGTTTGTTTGTGAAATATGATCATGTTTCGAGAAAAAAAGTTTCAAAAAATTTCAAGTTCCCAAAAATGTTTGGGTGAAAGTTTTTCTTCCACTCACGAAACTTTAATTTTTCTTCAAATAAAATGCATGTCTAAACACAACTTCAACTTTCAAAATTTATTTTTCAACACAACTTTAGAAAAACTTTTCAAGTTTCAATCAAATCTATGTCTAAACGCTAGCTTAATATAAAGTTCAAAAAGTCTAGTTCTTTTATACTTAAGCACTCTTGGCGCTGCATTATGATAAAAAATTAAATCAAATCAAACCTAACCACAATCGGATTTTTTTTCCGGTTGACTCGTATTATCTGTTTGATGCAGTTTGTTGGTTTTCTTTGCACACCCCTAATTATGGTACAAATCCAAACATACAAAAAATGCTTGGTGATTTCTTCTCATTTTTTACTAACCCTTGGTTGGTAGAGTTATCCGGTGTTTGTGCTGGTACGATGCAGTAGACATCCATTAAAAGAAAAAGTTAAAACTTATGAATTACGTACTTGTAATATTTAGCTGATGTTGCTAGCACCAAAAATGCGATGAACAGCAATAAATTTTTGTGGTTCAGCAGAAGGAAAGTGAGGCAAGAAAATGCAATCCTGAGTGCAGCGTCTACGAAGAAACTTACATGCTGAACATGGCACATGTTTGTTCTTCTTGTTTGTAGAACCCATGAAAAACAATAAATTAAAGCAAATGAACTTACTTAACTGAGTATTTAAGGGCAAAAAGTAAAACATGGGGTCTAGCAAATTGCAAAAGGGGTCCAAAAAATTAGCTGGAGAAAAGAAAAATCTTTAGACATCTTAATCGTAAGATCTTGGACGTTGTAATAACACTATTATCATCTCCCCTTGTCATTTTCACGGGGGGAAATTCATTGAACAAAATGGAAACTACATCGGTGCATTAAGCTCTCGCTATGCGTGGGGTCCGAGAAAGCACCGGAGCACAAGCTAAGGGTCTATCGTACGCAGTTTTACCTTGCATTTCTGCAAGAGGCTGTTTCCACAGCTCAAACCCGAGACATTCTGATTATATGTCAGGAACTTTACCACTAGTTAACCCAAATCTCCCTTCAAAATGGAAACTTCATCAATTGCTTTTAATCGCAGTTCAACACTAATATATGAGTGATATATCTTGAGTGTAACTTATATAAATGGATAGTGGAGAAAAATATACAACTATCACGATTCAGGTCACATCTACTTGTTGTGCCAGGTGGTCTGCCGTATTATCAAGATTATAATCCTTCTGTTTATAGATGGTTGGTTATCTGTAGTTATTTATTGTATGACCTGATAGTATAAATTTATATATATATATATNATTCGATGATTACGAGCCTAGTGATATTTATAAAGTAGGACAAAAAAGCTGTAAAAATTTTTCTATTTAACTTATACCCACTTTTTAAATTTTTTTTAACTTGTACCCACTTTTTAAACAACTTTAGGCCTCTTTCTCCTCTTCCTCCTCCTCCTCCTCCTCCTCCTTCTTCTTCTTCTTCTTCTTCGGGTGACAACAATTTTATATGATGGTTGTAAACATATTTTAATGTAGTTTATAATGTTTTACAATGGTGAGTTGCTATGATGCTTTATTTTTTGCTATTGCTTAGGTTTTTTCTTAATTGTAAAATGGGTTCATTAGATTTATTGTTGTTTTGACAAATTGATGATTGGGTTTGTTCCTGATGATATTTGGAAGTTATGTTTCAAATTTAAGCTCATTTGGAGTAGATTTAGGTATTAAATCGTATATTAGATTGTTATAATTCGAAGAACAAATTTCTGTTTCTAGGCAATTTGCACTTCAGGTCTATTTGGCCTTAAGTGCATAAAAACGTTGGTTGCACTTCAGACCTTTTGGCCTTAAGTGCATAAAAACGTTGGTTGCACTTCAGACCTTTTGGCCTTAAGTGCATCTGAAGTACAATTTTTCACTTCATACTTATTGGCTTTAAGTGCAGCAAAACGTTTGTTGCACTTCAGCAAAACGTTTGTTGCACTTCAGACCTTTTGGCCTTAAGTGCATCTGAAGTGCAATTTTTCACTTCAAACTTATTGGCCTTAAGTGTAGCAAAACGTTTGTTGCACTTCGAACCTTTTGGCCCTAAGTGCATTTGAAGTGCAATTTTTCACTTCAGACTTATTGGCCTTAAGTGTAGCAAAACGTTTGTTGCACTTCAGACCTTTTGGCCTTAAGTGCATCTGAAGTGCAATTTTTCACTTCAGACTTATTGGCCTTACGTGCATGAAACCATTAGTTACACTTCAGACCTATTTGGCCTTATGTGCATTTGAAGTGCAAATTTTCACTTCAGACTTATTTGCCTTAAGTGAATGAAAACGTTTGTTGCACTTCAGACTTTTTTGCCTTATGTGCATCTGAAGTGCAATTTTTCACGTCAGACTTATTAGCCTTAAATGCATGAAACCATTGATTGCACTTTAGGCCTATTTGGCCTTAAGTGCATTTGAAATGTAATTTTTTCACTTCAGACTAATGTTTTTTAATTTTAGACCCGATAAGTCTGAAATTGATCGTTAAATGGGTACACTTATAAATTTTTTTGCAAAGTGGGTATAGATTTAATTGTGACCCCAAAACCGGGTATAGATGCAAAAGCTCACAAGTGAGGGTCCATAAATAATTAGGTGATGATATGATGATTAGTGGAGGTGACATTGATAACATATCTGAAAGAAGTTTGAGACAATATATTTGACAAAACAAGATTAGAGCCACTTGGTTGAGCTTATTTTAAGTGACTTTTAAGTATAAGTCATAAGCTAGAAATTTTAGTTTTTGACTTATTTTTGTCATTTTAGCTAAAAATAATAATTCTTAAAAGCACTTTTTAATTTTATCCAATCACTATAAAGTGACTTAAAAGTTATTTTGGCTTAAATACACTTAAAATAAGCCAATCCAAACGACTTTTAATCTGGAGGACGACCCCATTTCACTAGGGAAATATATCGATCTTTCTGCCACTTTAATTTGAGTAACTCTAGCTTTTATCACAGTTTGGCTTATAAATAAGTTTGCAATTATGGCAATGAGATTCTAAGACTTTACTTCTTTCTCAAATTGATGTTTACTTCGTATTACTTTTTAAGTAGAGTCAGATATGGAATCACTTGTATTGTATTGTATAGTGGAGTATTATTTTTTCAATCTAATACTAGTAGATATTATTATAACTATATAAAGGCCCCGCAAGGATAGACTGAGTTGATTAGGTGAATGATTTCACATCAGAGATCTGGAATCGATTCCCTCCCTCAGTCAGAACTCGTTGCACCGGACTTATCTAATGCGATTTATATTTTCTGTGTGATTTTTCTCGGAATTTTTAAAATAAAATAAAAACTTATATAAAGGCTATGATAGAGTTAATCCACCGACAGTTTTATGCATTATTCTTTGTTAAAACTGGCAAGCAACACCTTACCACCTTAAGAAGTTCGATATAATAAAGAGAAAGACGATCCTTCTACCTTCATGTTTTCCCTTCATTTTTTCTAACCGCAAGATGTTCATTTTCTTGCTGTAAATACATGCACTGCAGTTTATGTTAGTCCCGCCAATATTGCTGTATTTGTAAATAATAATTCTGTAAAATATAAGTTATCGTAATGAAACAGTAATTAATTCGAGCCCACTGAATTCACAGTGTTTCCTTAAGGAATTTAATCCCCTCCTAGTACCCAAGGTTATGGATTATTTCCTCCCAGGATAGAACGAATCACACACTGGTGTAG